AGAGAGAACTTCAGGTGGCCAGAAACAGGTTTTACCTGAGCACATGATGGGAGAAAACATAACTCCAAGAGACAAAGGTATGTGATTTTCAAGCTGACAAAGACACAGGAGAGAATTAGGTTTGGGGGAAGATCAAAGAGAAATTCCATGCTGGACATGTGAGCTGTAAGCATACGAAAAATTCACCAAGTCACACATTAATATTTGTGATGTTTACTATATATGTATAAACAAAACCTGAAGAAAATATTCTAAAGCAGATCCTGGGATGAGACTGGGTTCTCAAAGGGACAAGAAAAGTGGAGCCACCAGACCTCAGAGTTACACAGCAAAGGTGGAGTTGGGGGCAGGTGTTGGCAGGAGCTGATGGGGGAGTCATGGGGTTTAGTTCCAAGTATCACACTGAATAGTCACCCCGAAGAGTGAAGTAATACAGCCTAGTTCCTGCCCTGATTATTTTCTTCCTTAATATGACCGTAAGGTTGCTAAGAATCTCTAAATTTCCTGTGTGGTATCTCAAGAGAAGATTAGACAATAAGTACCTGCTGAGGACTAAGTACCAAGTTGTAGGTGCAGCCTACAAATACTACAAGACTTGGGAGACCGGGGAACCGTGGGCTGGTGCCGGATGGGCTCCTGCAGGACACGATTCTGAAAGTGTCAGAAGACAGGCAAAGGTTGCACAGTGTGGTCTGTGGAAGGATTTCATTTGGTTTCTGGTTGGAGTGACACAGTATTTTCAGAGGCAATATTTGGACACAGCCGTGAGCGTATGTCACATATTTTAATATAACCAGTACCCTTCAATATCTGAATCTACCAGCTCTAAATGCAGGAGGGTCCTCGAAGAGGCAGGAAGATCCGGAGGGTCTGAGTGAGAGCTAGATTGTGAACAGTGTGGTTCCAAATTGCAGAGTGCCTGCATGCCACACGGAACTCATACTGAACGGCAGCGTGACTTTGGCCTTCGCCACCCAGGAGAGCCAGGGCAGCTGCGGGACTGGCATGAAGAACAAGAAGCACTCTGAGAGGCTCTGGCCCTCACAGGGTGACCCCATGCATCTGGACTTTTGGAAGTGGATTCCCAGCTGCTATCTTACAGATGCTAGTTTCTGTTTAGACAGCTGAAGGAGGACAGCTTCATATACTGGAGGTTAAAAACGTTAAGGTCCCTGTAAGTCTTTTATTTAACTGTCAAAACAATTAGCAATTAAAACTATAGCTTCAGTCCTTAACTGTATCTTGGTGGAGTTTTGCTTGTTTGTATTTGCAGTGTGAGGGACCAAACCCAGGGTCTCATATAAGTGAGGCAAGCACTCTGTCACCTGGCCAGCTTAGTCATTTGTACTTGTTACTAAAGTTGTCTGATGCCAATAATTTGTTCTGTGAGATTTCATAGGTTTGAGGAGTAGTCCCGATGCAATAAAAACGCTAACATTGCTACTATGCTACAGAAGGTAAGACAATTCTTTGACACTGTGGTTGAAATCTCTTGTAGAGTCGCTTATCAGACATCTGTCACATCTAACAATGACTGTAACTTTTGCGTGTGTGTATTAAAATTTTAAATGCTTAACTGTTAGGTTGAAGATAAATATGGATGAATTATAAATTCTTCCAATTGACAAAGCGAACATTTTGTACTTCATCTTTGGCTGAAAAGAAATCTTAAGTATAATTTTTCACTGCTAGCATAATTTGGCTACACAAACTCAACTTGGGATTTTTTTTAGTATGGTTTCTTTCCAACTTGGTCTTTGGGAACCCTCTGGGGATAGTGGCCATAAACCAAGACAGCTGCCACCCAGGAGGGACTGATCTTACTGGGGGATGAGGTGGAGGGGACCAGTAAGACGAAATGAGGAGGTGACTCTGAAGTACAGTACATCAGAGAAAAGAAATGTATCATAACACATCCCAGAGAGGTCAGAGATTTGGACGGAAGGTGCCTGATGAGAAGTCTGGAGGGGCCGGAAGGTCAACCAATGGACGGAGGGCTAAGACAGAGGCGTCCGTCTGTGCGCCTGTCAAGGTCCACTGGCTTTGGGCCTTAGGTTTCCTGCAGGGGCTGGGTTGGCTCGTTTAGGGAAAACATGTGGGAAGGTTGGAGGGGGTCTCACTCATGAGACTCTGCTGCCCCAACCATTAGGTTTTCTCAGCTATCAGCCAGGGAGCCAGCTGCCTTTGGGGTGAGTGGGATCAGGACTGAACAGGCCACATCTCAAGCACATGGCAGAAGGACGTTTCTCCAAAGTGACTGAGTTCAAACCACTTTTGACTGAGTTCAAACCACTTGTGACTCTTAAAACAATGACCTTATGTCCCATGTTAGCCAAACCTCTTTGGTAGTAACCATATGAGATAAATTTATGACACAAGCTTAGCTTTAGTTTTTATTTAATTGAATTAGTAAGGATAGAAATTATATTGCAAAGTTGATGGATTTTGGCAGAAATACGGACCCCTGATCAGCTACGAATTCATAGTTTTAAATATATGAAGACAGATGTACAAATAAATATAAATCTGTGCAGATACAAGCATTCATGCATCTATTTTTAACTCTGTCCCTTGAGAAGTCTTAAAGCAATGACACACCAGTAGCTACAACCATACCCAGCACTGAGAGCTCGGTTTCCAAATAGCATTCTTTACAGAAACTAAGGATCCTCTGAAAAAAGACTGATTCCAAAGCCACAGCAAAGAAAATACAGCATGAGCCCAGAACATATTCTGGTGCCAGAAAGTAAAGACACACACAGAAAACCATGGAGTCAGGCCAGGGGGACAAACTGGCTTCCTTCAGGATGCGTGCGCTGGCCAGATCTTGGGTAATTAAACAGTCAAAATGAGTAATGGCAGCAGTGGATTATAACCCCGGAGCAAAGCCCTGTAAGGTCCCATAAGCCCACACAGACAAACAGGGCAATCAGTAAACCAAAATGAAGAGACCGAGCTTCCTGACAGTAGGCAGCCATCTAATGTAATTGTCCCAGGACTGGCGACAGGGGCCTGGGCAGGAGGGTCACTTAAGCCCAGGGGCTTGAGACCAGCCTGGCGACATGGCGAGAATCCATCTCAAACCCCAACAACAGCAAAAAAATAATATGTTTTGGGCTTCGCAGTGTGGCTCAGAGGTGCAGTGTTTGCAGGAGCTGGTTTTGAGCCTCTGCACTGAAATACACACACACACACACACACACACACACACACACACACACACACGGAGAAAACCACCATCATGAGAACTGATTTGAGCAAGAATCATCAATAGACGTCAAACTAGTAGGTGCAAATTTCAGGAAGAATAAAGATGCGTACAGTCTCGGGTATCTTCCCGGTGGATGTTCATGGATTTCAAATACAGAAATAATGCTAGTATATACAGAAGGAACCTGGAAGGCCCCACCCTAACTAGCAGTGGGATAAGTCAGCATCACGTGCTTCTGGTACAAGACACTTGAGAGGACGACATCGCATCTGACACTCCCTCCCCAAATTTGTAACTTCAGTCCAAAGATGAGAAAGTCAGACAAATCAACTTGAAAGAAATTCTACAAAATAACGTTTTAACAGTGTCAATGTTACAGAGAGTTTTAAAATTCCAAGGAGCTGTTCTCTAACGCACCGCTTGCCCAGTCACTGGCTGTAAAGGATGCCAGTGGCACAGCTGGCAGCAGATGATAACACAGGTGGCAAGATCTGAGTGAGGCCTGCAGATTAGATTAGATACCAGTGCTGCAGCGGTAGGAGTTTCCTGATCTGATCACACCATGGTTATGTAAAAGAATGGAAGAAATGAATTTTTAGGAAATGAACAGATGCATTTAGTTATAAAGGGGCATCTTGTCTTGGGGGGGGGTTGTGAGGGCACAGGAAGGGGAGAGGAGGAAGGGGGGAAGACGGGGGTCTGGGGGGAAGGTACATGGGATTTCCTTATACTATTCTTGCAACTTTCTTGTATATCTGAAATTATGTCCAAAGAAAAGAGCAAGTAAACGATTTAGCAATTTAGATCCTGGACACACATAAACAGGCACACAAACACACGCCCACCCATGACATTATCATTTTAAAATTGCTTTTTACCATGCTCTGCTCCTGTTTGCTTTTGCTTTCTGGTCTTGCATAAACTCTGTAATTGTTCGAAGAATTTTTAAGCTTATTTTTGCTGTGGCTATCAAATTCTTTAGACTGTTTGTTTAGTTAATAGCCTAGGTTAATAGCCTGGACTCCAAATGTTCCCTAACCCATTTTCTAAACCATTTCTGTAGCTCTCCAGTTGGGTGTGTGGCCAGTTATTATTATTATTTTCTAAAAACTCAACTCTCTTCATATATGGGTATTTCATTTTGCTTTCAAAACGGGACCCAGAGAGGATGTAACTTATTGGGGTCCCCTCTTTCCCTCCTCCAGACAAAGAGCAGCCCATTGTGGTGTTTCTGCATATTCTTCCTTTCATTGTAGGATGAGATCTGTTAACTTCCTTTTATTGAGTACATACAAAAATTAAAGAGCTATCATGTATTCCATGTATCAACCTATTAAATGTTCTTGATTGCTTGTATATAAATACGAACCCTGTTTCTCTGAAAATAAGACCTAACTGGAAAACCACCAGCCTTGAAAACCAGACCTCACAAATGGCAGCCCCAGGAGCCCAGCCTTGCCGTCCATCCCATCACTGTTCTCTGGGTGTCTGCTCTGTACGGTAAGGAGAGGTGACTTTTAATCACTTTTTATCAAGGTTGATTTTCCAACTAGCTTTCATTTTGGGAGAAATACTTTAATAGTATGCTGTAACAGCATCAGAGCCTCCCCGACTGTATTAGTCCAGAATTGTGTGATAAGCTCTTGGAAGAAAAAGCAAGGTTAATTTTGTTTTAAAGGGCTTCAAACTGTACCTATTACCTGTAAGACTCCTGTGGAGTTGACGGTGGTTCAGCTTCCTAGAGCAATATTGTGCAATAATGATATATAATTGTAATCATATTTTATACCTCATTCAGGCAGAGGAAAGCTGGGGTTGTAGATAAATCAACGAGCCGCTCATCCTGAATGTTGATGGTGGGCACTATGGCATGGCCAACGTCTGTTTTAGACTTTTCATCCTCCTCTTCCTCTTCTTTCTCCGTGTCTGTGGAGCTATCGCCCATGTCTCACAATTCTGCAATAAAAACCATTCCACATTCAGCTGTTTAGGGGTAGCTTCACGTATAAAGTTCACGGCGAATAATAAGTAGCAAAACACTGAAACTACAAGCCAAAAGCTACAAGTCAAGAAATTTAGCTGTAACCTTGTAATTATGACGGGTGCTTGGCTGTAATGACAAGGGGTCCTAGGCCCCTCCTTCTCTTCTCTTTCCTCCCTTTCTTCCTTTTTGCAGAGGTGGGGCGCAAACCCAGGGTCCCAGTGTGCTAGGTGAGGCTCTACCACCGAGCTGTGCTCCTGCCACAGAGTCATTCTATCGATACGTTCAAGTCTTTAGTGTAAGCTCTGCAAGATCGAGCCTTCTCAGTGTCTTGAACACTGCAGTTACTAATTATTGAGCGGGTAAATAAATATAGCCTTCATCCTTAAAACGTAACACAGAGTTAGTGCCGAGCCATTTGCAATCAGCCATGCTGAGCTACGGCCGGGACAAGGCCAAGGCTCTGGAGCCAAAGCTAGAGAAGGCTCAAAGACGGCACGCCCGGGCCCCAAGCTGTGCTGGTGGCAGGGCTGGCACCGCCGGAGCTCAGGTAGTGGACGCTTTGCTCTCCATGGGTGGGACCAGGAATAGAAGGATTACAATGAGGGTGCAGGTCCATGCAGCCCGAGAGTCACGAAACACAGCTTTACCTCTGGGTTAATCACACTTGCTTTCTGATGCTGCCATTCTGTGGCCTGGTCCATGCTTCTGTGGCCGCACTTAACATACTGGGCTGTAATTTCCTAGTTTTCATATTGTGTCCAGAATTGAACTCCTCGGAACAGAAGTGTGTTTATTTACCTGGGTAGTTTGCACACATAACAGAATGTGTGCTAAAAATGTCTGCTAATGGAACAAAAAAGTTGTACTATTCTTCTTCTAGTGTCCAAAGGACGTTGCAATGTCTAGCAGTGTGCTTGACTTTTCAGAAATAAAATGCTAAAACTGAAGCAATAGAATGATAATAATTTACTCAATTTACTAGAAAGTTAGTTTGTATAAAATGCAAGTCCCAGAGGAGTAAAACTGAAATTCTGTTGTGATTGTTGCGGGTAGCTTTTATTACCAGCTTTGAAAATTTATCTATTCCTCAAATTATACTGTCAGGTTGTCTGCATAATTCTCAGGGTTCAGTGCAAAAAAGGAAATGTGGGGCTGTGTTTAAAAAGCAAGAACAATGTACTATGGCGGTTACAAAATAAAATTTGCCTTTTAAAGTATTTTATTGCTTATGCAATGTAATAGGGATGATAACGTTGCATGAATAACGAAGGTTTACAAACTGCAAGAAAATATCTGATGTCACCATTTTGTACAATAAAATAAATAATAATGTGATATCTCAGTCATATGATTTCTCTGGCTCACTTTTTCTGCAAATTCATTTATTAGGTTGCCAAAACTCATGTTTTTCACAACTTCATTTTCAATCAGCATAATTTAACTGATGTCAGTTGCTCTTGGGAAATAGAGGACCACAAATTATTTCTTGGCAACTTTTAATTGAGAGGAATCTTTCAGCAGATGCATCTGTTACCCGAGTTATTAAGAGTACTGAATTTGCAGGATGTGACAACATTTGGATAAATTTCTGATAAATTATTTCAAAATGATGATGAGTCTCATATAATGCTTTTCCTAAAAGATTTAACCCTATACCAACCAGCTTCATGTATGGACTTACTTTTACATTTAAATTTATCCAGCATCCATTTTACTGCTTCCTGTGACATTCTGTGTGACTTCTGGGGGCTGTGCAAGAACCTAAAAGTGGCTTTCTGGTTTGTTATTCACACCCCAACACTGCTTATGCACCCTGCAGCTTGATGTTCAATTATAAAGAGAAAATGACATTAAAAATGATCTTGTTAATCATTCAAAGCTTCATATGAAAAATGTTCTTTTTTTCATTTTTAAAAATTTTTATTTAAAGAGAAAAAAACAAAAAATAAACAGGGGAAAAGGGTAGAAATAATACACAATTACAGAAAAATAAACAGTAAGAAATCACTAGTTGATAAGTTACATATTGTCATCTTAGAAATAGTTGTTCAGGTTACAAAATTTTTTTTATTTTTATATTTTCGTCTTTTTCATTTTTATTGGTACCAGGGAATCAAACTCACGACCGCACACTTGCAAGGCAGGTGCTTATGCCGCTGAGCTAAATCCCCAGCCCCCAGGTTATAAAATTAAAACATACAAAGTGACATTCAAATAGTGACACTGCCAACAGTTCTGCTCAATGATCCAACAAAAACTTACTAATATGGTTATCAGTCCTACACACTTGTTTTTTATCTTAAAGAGGGTAAGATTAAACATATCAAAACATAACAAAACAGTTCATAAAGAAACAATTTAGGGCCCAGGATTTGGCTTCCTGCCGAAGTCAGTGAGTAAGGAGGAAGCAGGGACCTCTGTCCCAGCCTGGCTGACCTCTCTACCTCACTTGGAAGAAAACTTGAAGCGCAAAAATATAGGAAAATGATAAAATGAAAGACCAAAATGCAGTCGCAAACATTCAGCCCATCCCAAGAAAGCCTAGGAGCCATGGGCATAGAAGAAAATATATGCCACATACCTGAAATACCTGAAATAATAGTAACTGAAATAAAGAAGCAACTCTGGGAAGCCTTAAAGGAAATCAAACTAGAAATAATCTCTCAGGTAAAAGAAGAAATGTTAAAAGAAATGAAGGAGATGCTGAACATATCTAAAGAAGACACAGTTAAAAAACTTGAGGAGATAAACAAAAAGATAGAATCCCTGGATGAACAATATAAGAAACAAACAATATATAAAGCAGATGCAAAGAGATATACAGGAAATAAAAAATTCCATCGAAAGTTATAAAAACCGCCTCAATGAATGTGAAGATAGAATTTCAGACCTTGAAGACAAGATTGCAGCCAGTGAACAGGAAAGGAAAGATATTTTAAAAATAACAAGAAATCAGGAAATAACAATTCAACACCTGCAAGATGACGCAAAAAGGAACAACATAAAGTTAATAGGGATAAATGAAAAAGAAGGGAACAACATAAAGGATGTCAAGAGGATATTTAGAGAAGTAATCGCTGAAAATTTCCCAAACATGAGACTGGAAACCGATATTAAGATCAGTGAAGCATATAGAACTCCAAATAGTCATAACCAAAATAAAACTACACCCAGACACATAGTAATGGCCATCCCAGAAATCGAACAAAAGAATAGAATATTAAAAGCTGTAAGAGAGAAAAGACAGATGACCTATAAAGGAAAACCTATCAGAATCACAACAGACTTCTCAGCACAAACAATAAAGTCAAGAAGAGCATGGAGTGAAGTATTTCAGATCCTAAAGGAAAATGATTTCCAACCTAGGCTGATATATCCTGCAAAACTGTCCTTCAAAATGGATGGAGAAATAAGATACTTCCATGACAAAGAACAGCTGAAAAACTGCATGATCACCAAGCCAACCCTGCAAAGCATACTGAAAAACAGCCTAGATGCACCTAGGAAAAAAACTACTAAGCAAAGCAGACAATTAAACAGAACCAAAAGACAAAGAGGCAACAGCAGAAAGATAACATGTCAACAATAAACCAATATATAACAGTTATAACCATTAATGTAAATGGTCTCAATGCACCAATTAAAAGAAACAGACTGGCAGAATGGATCAAAAAACAAAATCCAACCATATGCTGTCTACAAGAAACCCATCTAACCCAAAAGGATACCCACAGACTGAAAGTCAAAGGATGGAAAACAATACTGCATGCAACAGGAACCCCCCCAAAAAAGTGGGGGTGGCTATTCTATTTGCACACAATGTGAACTTCAAGCCAATAATGATCAGAAGGGATAAAGAAGGTCACTACATACTGGTTAGGGGAAAACTCCAAGAGGAAGAGATAACTATCTTAAATATATATGCACCAAATTCCAGAGCACCCAGTTATATAAAACAAGTACTAACAGAAATGAAAAACCAAATCAGCAGTAACACAATTCTAACAGGAGATCTTAACACACCATTGACACCAATGCACAGACCAACCAGACAGAAAATCAACAAAGAAATAAAAGAACTGAATTGCACTTGTGAACAAATGGACTTAATAGACATATACAGAGTATTCCACCCAACAACAAAAGAATACACATTCTTCTCAGCAGTACATGGGTCATTTTCTAAAATAGACCATATATTAATTCACAAAACATATCTAAATAAATGCAAAAGGGTTGAAATCATCCCTTGCATACTATCGGACCATAGTGCTATGAAATTAGAAATTAATATAAAAGATACTACAAAATTCCCACAAAGACATGGAAACTGAATAACACACTCTTGAGTAATCAGTGGGTCACAGAGGAAATCAAAGAAGAAATTAAGCACTACCTACAAGAAAATGAAAACACAAATACAACCTACTGGAATCTGTGGGATGCAATGAAAGCCGTCCTCAGAGGAAAATTTATAGCACTGAGTTCACACATCAGGAAAATGGAACGAATACAAATAAGTAACCTGATGTTACACCTCAAACATCTAAAAAAAGAAGAGCAAGTCAAGCCCAAAGCCAAAAGAAGAGAAGAAATTATAAAAATCAGAGCAGAAATCAATGCAATAGAGACTAAAAAAAAATCCAAAAAAATCAATGAATCAAAGAGTTGGTTCTTTGAAAGAATAAATAAAATTATCAGCCCCTAGTCAACCTTATTAAAAAAAAGGGAAGAAAAAGCTCAAATTCATGCATTAAGGAATGAAAGATGAGAAATCATTACAGACCCTATAGAAATACAGAAAATCATCAACACCTATTTCGAAAACCTCTGCTCTCAAGGTTTGATAACACGGAGGAAATGGACAGATTCCTAGAAGCATACGAAGTACCAAAGCTAGGTCATGAAGATGTAAAACTACTGAATAACCCAATTTCTATTAATGAAATCGAAAACGTAATTAAGTCCTTAC